CGCGCCGCGCTCATGCCAGGCACTGCGGCGGCGTGGGCGGGCGCGAAGCCGGGCGCGAAGCCGGGCGCGGGCGCGGAGAGGGCGGCGTGGCGGCTGCAGAGGCCGGCGGCGGCGGCCGCGTCCGTGGGCGCGTGCGACCCCTGAGCGCACGCAGCGCCCCTCGTCCCTCCTCCCCATGCGCCGGCGGCCGTCCAGCCGACCGGCGCCGGCGCCGGCGCGAGGACTGGCGGCGCCGCGTAGTGCGCGCGCCCCTCCGCCTCGCCGACGCCGCCTCCATGCAGCGGTGGGATCGGGGAGTCCGCCCCGCCCACACCGCACGCCCGGGGCAGCCCCATCTCCAGCCAGCCAGTGGCCGCACTTGGCAGCTGTGCTACTGCTGCCCCAGGCGGGCAGAGCCCAGCCGCACCCCAGGCGGCGAGCGCTTGGGCGGTGTACCCGCGAGCAGGCGCGGGCGCGGAGGAGGGCCACGCGCGTCGCGGGCCCGAGCACGCCGCCGCCGCAGCCTCGCCGACGTGGCCCAGAGCGCCACCGGACGGCTCCAGGGCGGCTGCCCACCACGCGTCGGCGTAGAGAGCCGCGGCGTGGCGTGCTCGCCAATCGTCGACGCCGCCACCGCGCCGCTCGAGTTCGCCGGGCCGCTCCCTGGGCGGCGCTCCCTGCGGTCGCGGCTGGCTCGTCGACTGCGGCTGCGGCGCGGCCGACGCAGCCACCGGGGCATCGCTGTCGAGGAGGTCACGCCGGAGCGCCTCGAACTGCATGCGCAGCGCCGCGCGCTTGCTGGCGGCGCGGAGGCTGGCCTCTTCGCTCACCTCGCCAGCCGCATCGCGAGCCCACCCGCGTCGCCGTATCGGTTGGCGGTCCGGACCAAGCTGCAGCGCCTCGGCGTACTCGGCCGCCGCCTCATCGGACTGCTCTCGCTGCAGCGCACCGAGGTGAGCCCGCAGCGCCGCCCGGGAGTGCGGGTCCGAGACAATAGGTGGCGGCTCGCCGAACTCTCCGCGATAGGAGGCCGCCACGCGCGCGTGCACCGCCCAGGCAGTCGCCTCTGGCTCCATTGGGCGGGGGCCGGGCGGGCCAGAGAGAAGCCGGCCGTTGTACAAAAAGAATTTTACAAGATTTACAACCCGCAGGGGACTGGCGCGCACTGGCAATAAAATAATTTAGGAGACCAAACCATGCGGCGCTGGGTAGAGAGCTCGATAAACTCGAGTGGCCAAAATACGCTGCGGGGAGAGCGGAGCTGCGCCGAGAGGCGGGAGAAGCCGCGAGAGCAAGGGATCGGCAGGCGGCGGCGGGCGTCGCACGCAGAACGAGGCAGAGGAGAGCGACGCGACAGAGGATGAAGCGACAGGAGAAAGAACGACGAGAGTGGGACGACCGCGAGGTGGCATGAAGGTTGCACAGCGAGAATCGGGGTTTTGGTATATCGGGGTTATCGGGGTTTTGGTTTTGAACCCTGTCTGCACGTCTCGCGCGCGCGTGAACAGGGCTCCAGGCCCCAAATTACGTGTGAGTGTTAGAGAATCGGCGAGGGACTGCGAAGAGAGAGAGATAGGAAGAGGCAGACGCCCAAGGGTGGGCGACGGCTAGCACCACCACACTCCTTGGAGCACTTGGAGTCAGTGCAGTCGGTAACCTCACATCCAGGGCCGGGGAGCTAAGAAGCGCACCCAGCGAGGCACCATATGTGGGACGCGCGAAAGTTGTGTAGAAGCCGTCACGAGGGCTCCACGACGAACGACCAGCGAGATCGCCTGTTGGCAAGATTGCGCAGGTGTGCTGCGGGCGGCAGGCGGTAGGTGGCGGGTGGCGGGTGGCGGGCAGGCGAGTCGTGATTGAATGGTGCATGTTGAGGTCTGTGCTGGCGGGTGGCGTGACATCGCAGGCGGGTTGAATCGGGCGAGGACCTGCGCCTCTCTGTGCCTGCGCCTTGCGCTATCTGTGCTGGCGGGCGTCCACGAGTCCGTGCCACATAGTTCAGCGTTTGTGCCTAAGTTGCCCTTGCATCGCGCTCCAAGACGCCACCCACCTCCGCTCAGGCCTTTGTTGATAGCAAGTCCTCAATCTTCGGGAAATACGAAGATTTGCTTCCGGTCCAACCGGATGCGAACACTGCTGCTGAATGCCTCTTGCTTCTTGGTTGTCAATGCCTCATCAAGGGCTGTCAGAAAAGATGATCTCGGGTCGGCAGGCACTGCAGCCGACCACAAGCTAGCCGCTGCGCTGATGGAGCGCATCAGGGTGCTCGAGGAGACGAACGAGGTGCTAAAGGAGGAGAACAAGGTGCTCAGGACGGGGATCTTGGTCGGCAATGAACTGCCAATAACAATGGGCAGCTTACGCCAAGGCTGCCGGCGATGGTGCGGGCCTGCGGACGACCTGATGTTTGCTGGGTCGTGGCGGCAAACTACCAAAGCAGAATCAGCGCCGCCACCGTGCTGTACTGCAAAGGACAGCTACGATGATGACTTACAAGGACTAGAAGACAGTTTTTATTGGGATCCGAAATGCGGGAACTCATCATACGAATGGGAGGACGACGACGAATTCCATTACTCTGGTGAAAACGAACAAAACGAATTCCGGGGTCCGCGTGTTGGGTTCGCCGAGCACTCTGCAAGTTCATGCGTGTGCGACCCTACTAAACACTACACGTGGGACGCACCAGAGTCGTGCACCCTGCTCGCCTGGAGCGCCAAGGCGTTTTGCGCCGTCCTCGGCAAAAGAACCATGCTTCTGATAGGCGACTCGACGATGCACCAGGCGGCAGTGACGCTCATTAACATGGTCCTCCTTGGCAACGGCCAGTGCCACAAGCAGCTTGCATTTGGCGCGAGCGACACGCTGATCAACCGGACGTTCGGTTTCCTCAACCGTGGGTACACCTGGATTGATTGGATTGCCCGCAAGGACCCGGACTTTGTCGTCCTTTCCGCAGGCACTCATATCAGAAGGGATCAGGACTATCATGACGTGTTCGATGCCGTCCTGAAAGGCACGCGCGACCTTCCAAAGCAAATCGCGCCCAAATACGCGCCTGCAGTCCGGGGCCGACCCCTCCATATCATGTGGAAGACGCAGCAGCCAGGCGATCCCGACCTAGACCCTCCCTACCCAGCAGTCACTCGGCAGGCCGTTCTTCGGGGCCTTCCAGGCACATACTGCTTCAATCATGAGTCGCCGGCGGGAAAGCATCATGCACGGTTTATGGATCGCGACATCAAGACGGTGGCCAAGATCAACGCCGCTGCTGCCAAGAGCAACGGGTCTTCAGCAACCCTGTCCGTAATTGACATGCGAATGCTGTACTGGGCCACTCATGCGCACACAGAGTATGACTACACCCACTATTGCCTCCGCACTGAGGTGCTTTCTTCCACCTTTCCCCGCATCTTACTCCACGAGGTGGCGCGGCGTACCAACCTGCTCTCAAAAGTCCAAAAGGGGCGCTACTCTACTTTCTCCGGTGCTGTTCGCCCACGGCGCGCCGAGGGATGAATGCAGTAGTCATTAAGGCTCATGAAGTAGTCAAAAAGGTCGATGGCGCGCGGCCGATGGCCGCAGTGCGGCGCTGGCGGAGCACATGCTTTCAGATCCGCATCATTCCGTCAGTCTCACGGCGTGGACCCCTCAGCGGCCGCCCGGCATGCCGCTCGAGGAGATCGCTCCTCAACCAGTCCCCTCGCTCGCCTCGACCGGAGAGGCAGCGAGTTTGTAGGGATTGGGACGTGTATGATTAGGCGTGTGACGGTACGGTGTGTGCACACTCTCATTTTTTTAAATTTGGCAGCTGTTTGTGAAAGCCGCTGGACGCCAGCATCACACACTTCTAGATTTCATGGCGGGCCGCCTAGGCCCTGGGGTCGGAGGTAGAGTCGGTGGTGGTGCCGCGTTGCGGCGCGGGCTACGCTGTCGGGGGCGTTTAGGGCGGGGTCGGGGAAGGGTGGTGGGGTCGGTCGCGTCGGCGGCCGCGCGGCGGTGGCCGCAGGGGGGGCAGGAAGAGGTGGTGGCGCCGATGGTCAAAAGCAAGGTTTTGTAACGCGAGTTGCCGTGCCACAGTGAAATGGAATTAGCCTATAAGAAAACAACTCTCTCTCACAGCAGAAAAAGAATTTTACCAACACGATTCACACGACAGACAAGGCGCGGGCGACGGCTTCCTCAGAAGCCGTCGCCCCCACCACAGAAGCAGTCACACCACTCCCACTCCGGCGCCCACCCACTCCCCACCCCGACATCCCCACCCCACCCCCCACTCCCACTCCGGCGCCTCCGGCGCCCACCCCCCACCCCACCACCCAACATCACCGCCCCACCCCGCCCCACCCCGCCCCGAGAACCACCACCTTTGGCAGCACAAAGCTGCGCCAGATGTCCGCCAGCTCTGGAGCCGCTCCCTCGCGGCTGTCGAAGCGCTCCTCGTCCCAGGCGATCAGGTAGCCCAGCCGCATCACCTCGACCGCCTGCTTGCGAGCCGCCTCCGGGAAGAGCTCGTGCGACTGCGGCGACCACTCCGCCGCCTTGAGGATCAGCCTGCCCACCTCCACCGCCTCGGCCGCTGGCTGCAGGTTGGCCGGCCTGAGGGAGGGCAGAGGCGTGGGGTGTGTCCAAAGAGAGGCTCCGGCGAGTCGGGGAGAGACCATTTCAGTGCGCGCCTCAGTGCGAGTGCCTTGGCCTCGCCCGCCACGCGCACGCCGAAGCGGGCGGTCGAAGCGTTTGCGGAGACGACGACGCCGACCTTGCCGTTCATCGAGGGCCGCGTGACGAGAGAGTGGATCGTGACGGTGGAACCGACTGCCGCAGCGGTCGGACCCGACTCGCTCCACGAGCAGAGTAGGCGCGCCCGCTCGAGGGCAGAAGGCGCGCCGGCGAGTGGGTCAGCGCCGCGGCGCAGCAGCGCCCGCGCCCGCTCGACGGTGAGCGCCTGCGGAAGAGGTGCAATGGGCGTGAGGACAATGCTCTCACGCCTTCGGCCGCTAGTCTCAGGCACGCCTCGAGGTGCTGGAGCGGCATCCAGCCGCGGCTGGCGACCAGCCAGGCGGCGAGGTCGGCGTGGCCTTGGCTGTTCGCGGCCTCCTCGGGCGTGCCGAAGGGCGTAGCGGCGCGGGAGGCGCCGTAGGAGGAGAGGAGCTTGGCGACGTCGTGGCCGTCCTCGCACGCGGCGAACAGCGGCGTGGCGCCTTGCTCATCGGCCTGGTCGGCCGCCGCGCCGGCCTCGAGAAGCAGCCGGGCAATGTCGACGTGGCCCTCCTGGCACGCGATGAATAGCGGCGTGGCGCCATCCTCTGTAGCTTGGTTGATCGCCGCGCTGGCCTCGACGAGCACCCGGACGATCTCGAGGTGGCCCTTCTGGCACGCCATGTACAGCGGCGAGAAGCCTCCGTCAGCAGCTTGGTCGACCGCCGCGCCGGCCTCGATGAGCAGCCTGGCGATTTCGGGGTGGCTGTTTTGGCACGCAATGTACAGCGGCGTAATACCGCCGGGCCTGGCTTGGTTGATCGCCGCGCTGGCCTCGAGAAGCAGCTGCACGCACTCGAGGTGGCCGTACTCGCACGCGATGTACAGCGGCGTGGCGCCTGCCTCGTCCGCCTGGTCCATCGCGACGCCGGCCTCGAGAAGCAGCCGGGCAATATCGACGTGGCCCTCCTGGCACGCGATGTACAACGGGGTGGTGCCTCTGGTGTTGGCTTGGTCGACTGCCGCGCTGGCCTCGACGAGCACCCGGACGATCTCGAGGTGGCCCTTCTGGCACGCCATGTACAGCGGCGAGAAGCCTCCGTCAGCAGCTTGGTCGACCGCCGCGCCGGCCTCGATGAGCAGCCTGGCGATTTCGGGGTGGTTGTTTCGGCACGCAATGTACAGCGGCGTAATACCGTCGGGCCTGGCTTGGTTGATCGCCGCGCTGGCCTCGAGAAGCAGCTGCACGCACTCGAGGTGGCCGTACTCGCACGCGATGTACAGCGGCGTGGCGCCGTCGTTGCAGGCTTGGTTGACCGCCGCGCCAGCTTCGCGCAGCAGCTGGGCGCACTCGAGGTGGCCGTTCTGGCATGCCATGGACAGCGGCGTGGTACCATCGTTCATCGCTTGGTTGATGTCAGCGCCAGCGTCGCGCAGCAGCCGGGCAATATCGACGTGGCCCTCCTCGCACGCGATGAGTAGCGGCGTGGCGCCATCCTCCAGGGCTTGGTTGACCGCCGCACTGGCCTCGAGAATCAGCCGGACGCACTCAATCTGCCCCTCCTGACACGCGATGGACAGCGGCGTGCAGCCTTCAGCGCCTGCTTGGTCGGTCGCCGCGCCAGCCTCGAGGAGCAGCCGGGCGCACTCAATCTGCCCCTCCTGGCACGCGATATACAGCGCGGAAGCGCCGCCGCCAGTCGTCGCCCCCACACTCGCGCCGCCTTGGAGCAGCAGCCGCGCCGCCTCGGCCTGCCCGTGCCGAGCGGCCCAGGTGAGCAGTGTGTCCTGCCTCTCGGTGTCGTGCCGCGCGTCGAGCTCGGCCGCGAGCGACGTGCCGTGCGTCCCCTGCCCGGAGAGGAAGGCGTGCAGCGAGGCCAGGTCGCCCCGAGCCAGGTCGGCGAGCCGGGTTGGGAGGGCGCCGCTCATGTGAGCTGCGGGCGCTCATGGCTTCAGAAGCGCCGAAAAATTCTTTGTCGTACTCGAAGCCATCACCGATATCGTTCAAGGAGAACGCTGTTCAAAATCCGCTGTTTTAGGTAAGTGTAAGCCGCAATGGCGGCCGTCCCGACGAGCGCCGGGCGAGATCGCGAGGGTCGAGTTGGCCTTTATACGCTTTTCTTCATATTCTATATTCGTAAGATTCTATATTCGTTTTCGAAGCGATTTTCAGCCGGAATATAAAGAATATTCGAGAATATAGGCCCTATTTGGAGCCATATTCTTGCCACATTCGAGAATATAGACCCTACTTTGGACAAGAATACGGAAAGAATACGCAAAAAGAATATAGATAGTACTCGGCGAGAAAAGCGTATAAAGGCCAAGAGGTGGTGCGACAGATCGTGTATGCACTCGGCCGGGGGCGACTTCGCGTCACCGCGGCCCATCCGCTTCTCGCTGAAGGACAACGCGTTTGTCATGCACGGGCAACGGGTCGCGGCATTCTCTGAGAATGTCCTTTGGTCCGCCCTCGATCAAGGTAGCTGGATAGCAGTCCCATCGCTACTGCTCCACAATGTCCAAACAGCCAGTGTCAGAGCAAAGCATGAAATCAAGTACCGACACGGAAGAAAAGTTAACTTTCATCGCACCGCGAAGCAAGTGAGGAAGGTGCACATCGAAACGCGGCGCAGTGCCATCGACGTAATGCGAATAGTGTGGTGTCAACCACCGCCCGGGTTGTCAGATGTGTGGCTCACCCGTTTGTACTCTGCCATGGTCAAGGAGGCCCTCGATCTTGGCTGTCGTGGTGCTGGCCTGCATTGGATTGATGTGTCGCCGCCGTCAGGCGGTGCCCACCCGCTCTTTGCGTCCCTCCTCTTTGCGGCCTTACCGCGCACTATTGGACACCCGCCTGTCGGCTCGCGTGAAGGCGGTGTCGATGTTGCACCCGCCCATCTCGGTCGGCAGCTGCGCCTGGAGCCACGCGAGGTCGCGGAGCGCCTGGGGCGAGGCGTCGGCGCGAGCAATGCCCTCAAAGGACTTGCGGATGCGGTTGTGCGCAAACTCGAGAGCCTCGCACGCGACATTGGGCGGCGTGATGCCGGCAATGTACTTGGTCTTTGTTTGCGCAGGCAATCCGTTGGACGAGGTTGAGGCGGAGCTGCGAGGTGTTCGTGACGCAGTCAGTGTCGACGATCGTGTCGATGGCGTCGAGCGGCGCGAGCTTCTTCCTGAGGTGCGCGCTTTGTGTTTTGGGCTGCCCCCCCCCCCCGGGCAGTCATCATCCGGGGAGCTACTTACTCCCAGCGGAGCACTTGGTCTTGGAGCACTTGGTTTTGTAGTGATCAGATAAAAGAGGCGCACTGTTTTTCTTTTCTGTTCGAAAAGCTTCTCCTTCTCGGTGCCCAGATCGAAGCTTCAGCAATGGCCCTCGCGCTTTCCGCCCTCCCCCTTTCGCTCTCGCTCGGCGCCCCGATGGCGGGCCCGGCGTCGCGCGCCGCCGTCTCCATGCAGGCCTACGGAGCCGTCGCGCCCACCGCGGGTGCGCCGCCGACTGCACGCAACTACTCGCGCGCACTGACGCACTTCATTATTTACCTACCCCCCACGCCCCCTCCCGGTGCAGGCGTCGCGGCGGGCGTCGCCGCCGGCGGCCCCATGGCCGGCCCCGGCGTCGACTCCTCCATCCTCGTCCAGGGCGGCTCGCTCCGCACCTGGTCGTACCGCTCGCCGTCGGTCGAGCAGGTGCAGGTGGTGCTCAGCACTGAGGGCCGCCCGCTGGACGCGGACATCGAGCTGTGGCAGGGGCCGGACAACACGCCGTGCAAGATGCGCGTGTACGTCGAGAACGGCCAGCTCCGCCCCTTCAGCGCCGTCGTCGAGACGCCCCGCGGCCCAAACACGATTGCCATCCGCAACATCGGCCAGGTCGAGTTCCCCCTCGCCGCCAACGTCGTCGCGGACAACGTCGACGCGCCGTCGGCCGAGTGCCTCGACACGCGCATGACCATCCAGGGCGGCGCCCTCCGCACCTACCCCTTCGACCCCACCGTCGACAGCGTCCAGGTCCTGCTCAAGACGGACGGGCGGCCGCTCAACGCGCGGATCGAGCTGCTGCAGGGTCCGAACAACAACAAGCAGGTGATCGAGCTGTACACGGAGGACGGCCTCGACCGGCCCTTCTTCTGCATCCTCGAGACGCCCGGCTCGGGCAACGTCGTCCGCGTCGTCAACACCGCCCCCGTCGAGTTCCCGATGACTGCCTCAGTCGTGCCCAACTCCATCAACGAGCAGATGGGCTACGAGGCGGTGCTCGGCGGCGACGTCGTGCTCGGCGGCGACGCGGGGTGGTGAGCCTTTGGGCGCTCCCCCTCCCCGCACCCCCTCGCTCGCGCGCGCGCACGCGCTGCAACGCCCACAGCGCTCGCATTCTGCGCCGCGAGACGAGAACCTCTCTTAGGGACCCTCCACTTCTTTCCCCCCCTGTGACTCTCATCTTGTGACTCGGTGTCAGTGTGCGCGGCAGCACGTGTTTGTAGGGCGGCGGCTCTCGTCCAGTAGGGTCATTTGTGGTTTCACCCGTACACGTATCTCCTTTTCCATTTCACGTAAACGGCTTTTGAGATGCGCGCGGCGCCGGCGGGCCGGCGGCGGCGCGCGGCGGCCCCCCCCCCCGCCCCCCGGCGCGGCCCGCCGGCGTATCCTTCTCCACCGGCGGACACACTGCGGCGCGTGCGGGTGCATACGCGCGGTGTAGCCGTTGCGCGGTTGACGGGCGGTCCGCTTGAAAGGCGCGGATCCTGGCTGGCGCGAGACCGCAGTCGGTGCGCAGAGACCCGACCGAGAGCCCGCGAGACGCATGGCCGAAGTCGCTCTCGTAGAGTCGGCAGCAGACGGGGCGCATGCACGAAGCCATATGCCATCGATCGATGAGCGACATGCGTGTGCGCGCGAGGCGCGTGCGCCCGCGGCGAAGTGCAAGTCTGGGCGGGGCGGGGCGTGTCCTCTCTTTTCGTCTTCCCGCGCGCGCGCTCGGCCTGCACATGCGTGACAAAGAGCGCCGCACACCCCGCACAGCGCGTATATACACATGTACTGGATCTCAGGCGCGTCGAACACCGAACACCGGGGCTCACACGAAAGTCGGCGCGCCGCGCGGCCGCCGCCGCCCGCGGTCAATTCGCCTGCCTACTCTGAGACGGAGAGCCCCTGGCTGCCCCCTCGACGGCTTCCGCCCCCTCGCCCGCCACCCGCCCCTCGGCCACTCCGCCGCCCGCGGGCGGCTGCGCTGGCGCGCGCACGCCCGAGCCCGTCGGGTGTGCAAACAGCGCCTTCACCTGCGAGCGGGGGGCGTACCAGGGTTGGGACCGCCTCCCCACGGCAGCCGGCAGGATTCGGACTTTTTGCGGGGAATGGTATGGTCTGCCGGAACCCACCTCGAGGCCGTACTCCCCCGCCTGCTGACAGA